CAGAGAAGTCCAAATTAAACATGATTTAATGACTCGTAAATGTAAGTACACATTGATGGCCTAAGACACGAAACGAGCGGTTTGTGTGAGAAAACGAACAGTATTTATATCGTTTTTACCTCTTGTAACACTTAACTTAACTTTCCCTTTAAGTGCAAACTAAATGTAATGTTTTGTGACTCTTAAATGAAAATTTAAATCTAAAATTAATCTAAATTAAATGAAAATTTTACAGCGAGAAAACTAAAATACACTTTAATGTAATTTCTATTGAAAAATGCATTTAAATATATTTGTAATTTCACACTTATAATGATGAGGTTGCAATTTAAAATATTAAAAATATTAGAATATATTGAATAACACACGACAGATTCAATTATAATCAAGTACTTTACATGAGCTTTAAAATGTTAGTCAACACATTAAAATAAGTGCACTTATTTAAAGCATGACCAATAAAATGTGCTAGTTTTTATTTTACATTATTGCAAAGAGCACTTTTTTAAAGTTTAGGCTACTTCAGAAACACTCACGAAAGTAAACTCTCATTACTCTCATTATTAAACTCTCATTAAACTCTGCATTCATGTTTTATCTGCGTACGGGTTTTGTCAAATATGTGAGATTCGAATTATACTTACAATACATTTAAACACGCATCTTTTTCACAAGTGAAGGATAGCTAACATTTGTCCTAATGTTCTGTTCATAATTCATATTTTTTGCGCCTACATATAAAGCGTGAAACTGGTTTGGTGAAGTATCACTTTGCTTTGGAAGACATGAAACAGAATGAGTCCCAGGAGCAGAAGGCAATTGAGGCTCAGAAGATCAGCAACGAGGAGCTTCAACTACACAAGGTGACCATCATCACCACGCCATTCATCTCATTCCAGCACAAGACCCCTGATCGGGGTTTAACAAGTCAGATTTACACTACAGTGTTTGAAACGCGGCACTGTATTAAATTCTTCTTTCGATTGGACACACAAACTTATATATACTCTTGAGAGTGGTGAATAAATATTGCGTTCTTCTTTCACAGGACGCATTCGTGGAGTTCTTGAATGGAGCTCAACTTTTCGACAGCATGTTTGCTGAGGATCCGGATGCAGAGAAACTGGCTCTCCTCCCCGGAATGGAAGCATTGCTGGAGATATATCCTTGTTATGAATGGCAAAATAAACAAATCTGGTACAAGTTACAAGGACCTACGCCGTATCCTCTACGCTACAGACTACGCGTTTTCATTTATATTTCAGTGTTGACGCGCAATTACACCTGCAGAGGGAGCATGTGAAACCCGAGGGAGTGGTTATAGCGGACCAATCACAGCGCTTGCGGACGCGTTGAATTGACACGTTTTTACATTTTTGGAGAGGTGCACGTTAGGGTACGACGAAGGGTCCGCGTGCTACATGCAAGTATAAATTAGGGCTGAACGATTATGGAAAATAATCTAATTGCGATTTTTTTAAACCAATATTGCAATTGCGGCTTATGCGATTACTTTTTAAGTTCTTTACCTTCTGTATTAGTCGACAAAGACAAGCAATTGTACAGTATGGATGGAAATCTTTAGATAGCTCATGATCCGATCTACTTTTTTTCTTATTAATTAATCTTAATAATATTTAAAATATGTATTTAATTACATGTGTAAAAATACATACTTTAAAAAAATATATATATATATATATATATATATAAAATATTTTACAATTAAACCAATTACATGTTAAAGGGATAGTTCACTTTGAAATTAATTTTTGATATGTTTTAGCTTACCTCAAGGGCATCCAAGATGTATGTGTCTTTGTTTCCACAGTATTTTCAATTTTGATATTTTTCGGTCAAACCGTTGTCGTCTATCAGTCATACACTGGAGGTTAAGGGGGTCCTCCCTCGGTTCACCTCAAAGAGCATGCACAGAGAAGTCAAAATTAAACACGATTTAATGACTCGTAAATGTAAGTACACATTGATGGCCTAAGACACGAAACGAGCGGTTTGTGTGAGAAAACGAACAGTATTTATATCGTTTTTACCTCGTGAAACACGGCCATGTCCAACTGATCTGACGGCACGGGCGCTTTTGTCTGCGCATGCGCTGGAAGTGATCGATTGCGCGTCTACGTCACTCTTTGTTTACACAGAGATTTCGGAGGTTTTACCTTTCACTAAACATATTTAGATATACGGGAAATCGCAATGGAAGACGATTTCGATATAGCTGTTGTATTCTACATGTTGTGACTTCTTCTTGAGTCTCTCCATCTTTGATAGGGAGTTTCTGTCAGTTTTTGTCATTTTAGTGTGTCTGTGTGAGAAAATCGTAGCTGCTAACACACACACACACACACAACAGCTCAATTGCTATTTAAAGGGCCAGGCACAAAACTGTGCGTTTTTGCAAACCCTCAAAACGTGACTAATTTATCATGCTGTGTAAAAATATCTGTGGTGAATTTTGTGCTAAAACTTCACACACACACTCTGGTGACATCAGAGACTTATTTAAAATCTTGTGAAAATGCCCTTTTACCACCCCTTTAAAACATTCAAGCTTGAAAACCTGAGTTCAAAAGCAACATCAAGACTGTAAAATGGCCTCTTTAAGAGTGCAGCTGTTAAAAATAATTCATTTACCTTGACAATCCATTTACATTTAAGAGCAAAATGGAGCCTCTATGTGTGCAGATATTTGATGCGGGTTTGGCTCAGCTTGCTGGGAGAACGGCTGAGGTGGACTCCTTTTTTACCTGTTCCCACGAGGCAGTGGCTGAAAGTCAGCGCAAAGCCGCACAAACATTAGCTGACTTTGAAAACTCCAGGAGGCAGGTTGGTTTCTTCAAGGAAAACCAGACAACCTGTTTCTCACCAGATGAACACATCAAAATGCTCACTATTAAATTCTGTTCTATTGCAGAAGACTGTGGAAATGCAACAGATCGCAGACACCAAGCTTCTCGAAGCTCACATCACTTCCTGCCACGAACAGGCTGACCAGTTCTCTGAAACCCTCATGAGTCTTGAACTGCAGCTGGTGGACCAACTGGAGGTCAGAATAAAAAGACCTAATGCAATATCAATTACGGAGCGAATGGAAGTTTCACAAATATCTTTTTTTTTTTTTAAGGACATCTTCAAGGACTTTGAGAGGAACATCTCAGACATGGTTGGAGGATTCATTGAATATGTCCAAGGGATATATCCTTTATCCAACCAAGCAAAACAAAATGCTTTGATTTTAAGGGTAAGGCCTCTTTAACTCTGACACACATTCGCACTGTGCCGAAACCTGGAGAACCAGCATCATGAGCAGCAGCTTGAGATCGCCTTGGAAACACTGGAGAAGGTGGTGAAAAACGAGATAGAGGAGGAAATACCGGATGATTTGGCAATGGTTGGTGGAAAACTGTCTTCATGATCACTTAATTTGTGTATAGTCATGAATAATTAAGAAGTCAAAAGCCATGCAACTACATGCCAGACACTTATTTTTGCACTGACTGATCCTTCGTCCTCATTTTCTGCCCTGTAGCTCTTGGTAGATAAAGACACAGTGACCAATGCAGTCAATGCTTCTCATGACACCCACCTGCTGAAGATTGATAACAGGGAGGATGAGCTACTGACACGGATCAAAAGCTGGATGAGCGGTCTGCTGAAATCGGTACATGATTTTGAACACACTTCCTCTGAACTTTAGACTCCTTCACAATAATTTTACATTACATTATATATCACGTTGCAGCTGTCCAGTATCAGAACTACTATTAATTAAAATGTCAATCTTTTTTGTTTGTGTTAATAGATACACAATAATGAGGTGGAGAGGAATCGCAAGCGCATCTCAGAGATCCGAAACTACATTAGTTTTGTAAAGAATGAGCTGGAGGACATGACATCATGATCTGAGGACAATTAAAATGTTTCTCTTGTCAGATCTAATATATATATATATATATATAGCTATGTATGTATGCATAATAAACACGTTTTGCTCATTTTGTTGTTATGTTGATAAGTATGCAGCTGTATTAACTTTGTTTTGTTTATTACACTTTGAGATCGTCAGGTTTACAATAATGTTGTAGGATTTGTTTTTGTACTTTATGCAATGCTTCCATCTACAGGCGAGTAAAGGCGCTGCAGCAATTCCATTTGTTGGCAGAGAGAGAGAGAGAGCTGCACATTACATAATAACGGGCATTTCTCAAATGGGGTGTGGGCAGTTATATACAATTTTAAAAAAAAGTTATATATAATTTAGAAATAAAGTTTTTATATATATATATATATATATATATTAATATTGTATATATTAATTAATATTGTAATTTAATGTATATTAATATTGCAATGTAATTATATATATTGTAATGTCTAATATATATATATATAGAGAGAGAGACCATTTCACAAGATGTAAACAACACTGGTCCAAAAGCACTTCCTGTTTCAGTTTTTTAACACTACATAAAAGCTGGGATAAGATACAACCAACAGAACATTTAAAACTGAATCAAAAAGTTAAACAAACATCTTTAAGATGTTTTCTTTACATGTGAAATAAAGAAAACAGTTACAAACTGAAACAGGAAGTGCTTCTGGACCAGTGTTGTTTACATCTTGTGAAATGGTCTATATATATATATTGCAAGTCATTACAAGTTATCATAGCTAACACAATCATTTCTACCAAATATGTGTTTTATGTATAATTTCAAATGTTAAATTTGTTTTAAATTGTGTGTGTGTGTGTATATATATATATATATATAGGCTACGTTAAACAGGTTTTATTTGCAAATTCAATGTTTAGAAACAGCTGTCACAACATTAACGATTCCCCACATTTCTACAGTACCGTTTTCTTGCAATAAAACGCCAAATCCCATCATGCCTTTTCCAGAGTAGCCAATGAGCACCCAGCGTCATTGTTCCCTGATGTTCGTCATCCAATCAGAGAACACCATGCTGGATCACATGACTCGCTGTTGAGCGCCTTCATTCTGCTCTGAGGGACTCATCCGCGCGTCCTGCGGGAGAAACTCCGAAACTCACGCACTGCGCTGTCAGTGTCGCGTGTTCTTCTCTTCCCAGGTCTCGGATAAGCGACGCTCAGCTGGTTGTGTTCGGGGACTTCCCCGCAGAAGCGATCAAACATGCCGGTCCGCACCGACTCCTGTCAGGGCTCGTCGTTGGCCTGCATGGCCTCGGCCTCTCTCGTTCCGCCCCCGCCGATCAATACCCATCAGCCCGGCGTCAACACCTCTCTGCTCTACAGCGGCTCCCAGTTCCGCGGCCACCAGAAAAGCAAAGGAAACTCCTATGATGTCGAGGTGGTTCTGCAGGTAAACACTTCGCTCTCCGTGGATATGCTCAGTGAGAAGTGAGCTGCCTACCTAGGCATTCAAATGACTGCTGTCTGGGTAACGCTAACGATAGGTGGTTGGAACTATGAAGCCCAAAAATGCTGTTTGTTTGTTTGTGTTTGTTGGCAGCCATCCTACTAGGTAGGTTTAGAGTCCAAAAATGCTGTCTAAATAGGGTGCTGCTCACTCACTTGGTTTGAAACTTTCAAACCCAAACATACTGTTTGTTTGAAGGTATGAACCTACAATGTAGCTTTCGAGTCCAAAAATGCTGTCTAGGTTGGACGCTTTACGTTGTGAGCTCAAAAATAATATGCTGGCTACCAGTTTGTCAGCTATTTTAGACACGAAAATCTACATAGTAGGCTGCCTACATGCAGTCTAGGTGAGAGTATGAAACTCAAATGATGTTATGTAGCCAGCCTACTATGTCCAAAAAGGCTGTCAAGGTAGTTTACTAATGTGATTACATTGATCATTGTGTAATAGTGCATGTCAGTGAATGTGGAGATATAATCGCAATGGATCCGTTACCCATTTTTAAGTAGGGCATCCAGAGAGAATCGTGTCTTCATGTTTGAGTCCAGATTAGTATTTTGAACTGTATGTTATGAACTGACCCACATTAGCAGATCTGTTCTCGTGCCAAGTTCATCATTAGTGATTATTTTATTAAACCCGTTGCTTCTGACCCACAGCATGTGACCATGGAGGACTCGTACCTGTGTGGATATCTCAAGATCAAAGGTCTGACAGAGGTGAGACGGGCTCGTGGTCAATGCGGACACGCGTCTACTTCTCGATTCGCACTGTCAGTGTGACCTGCAGCTTTAGTAGCTGTTGATCTTCTAACAGTTTATGGCAGCATGACAATCATAAGCACTCTTGCTGTTTGTCTGAATGGAGATTCCGCTTTTGTGGTGTTGTTTACTGGGAGCACAATAGATTTGGACTCTGACACACACTGAAATATTTAACCTTATGATTTTATCCAGTCCACTTTAAGAAGCATAACACACTTAATTGATCGGCACATTATTGATTGGCTAATTTTTCCTGAAATTTCTTAAAAGCGTGATTAAAACATATAAATGGGAAATGATTGCATTTATATTGCGCTTTCACAGATTCATTTCATATGGCCAGAAGTATGTGTGTGACTATATCAGAAGTACATATTGAGTCAGACCACGTTATAGCTCACCGAAGGGAAGTGTCCTCAGCCTGCTCTGTTTCTCCACAGGAATACCCCACTCTCACCACTTTCTTCGCCGGCGAGATCATAAGCAAGAAACGGCCTTTTTTAACCAGGAAATGGGATGCGGATGAGGATGTCGACCGAAAACACTGGGTAACAAATATAGATTCGTTGTGTTTATTATGAATCATTATGCATCATGACTCTAAATATGTTTTTCTTTTTTCTCAGGGGAAGTTTCAGGCATTTTATCAGTACGCAAAAAGCTTTAATTCAGATGATTTCGACTATGAAGAACTAAAGAACAGTGATTACGTCTTCATGCGGTGGAAGGTACGGTATGAAACCATACACACTACCGGTCAGTAAGACTTAGTTTCAGTTTTAAAAGAAATGAATTCTTTTCAGTATTATATTATATTGTTTCATATAAATGCTGTTCTTTTGAACTGTCTATTCGTCAAAGAATCCTGCAAAGTTGCACAGTTTCCTCAAAAATATAACTGTTTAACATTGATAATAATGAGAAAGATATGTTTAATATAATAATCATATTAGAGTGATTTCTGAAGGATCATGTGACACTGAAAACTGGAGTTATCTGAAAATCCAGCTTTGATCACAGGAATAAATTACACTAGATAAAAGTGATTTTAAATTGTAATCAAATTTCACAACATTACTGTTTACTAGTGTAAAAATGTTGCTTGTTTGGTTCAGGAGCAGTTCCTAGTTCCAGATCACACGATCAAAGACATCAGCGGCGCTTCCTTCGCTGGCTTCTACTACATCTGTTTCCAGAAGTCTACCGCCACCATAGAGGGCTACTACTACCACAGAAGCTCTGAATGGTATATATCAAATAAAGATGAGTGTGTGAGGGTGTATACTGTAGTCAACATGAATTTTATATATACATACACAGTATGTGTGTGTGTTACATCAGTGTATATTAATATTAAACGTAAATATTCTGAATATATCGCCTAGTCCCAAAGAACCCAATTTTTCTTTGTCACGTTCTCATGATCAGGTATCAGTCTCTGAACCTCACACACGTCCCTGAACACAGCGCACCCATCTATGAGTTTCGGTGACACTGAAGTCCTCGCGTCACACAAGAGGGTGAATCTACAGTGGACACGAGCGAGCGAGCGAGAGAGAGAGAGAGGGACTGTCTAATGAACACGCCAGGACTCGGCTGTCCTCTCCCCTCAGCGAAAGAATAAGACGGAGGTACCGGTGACTCTTTCAGGAGACCGCACGCAGGCCGATCAAGCAAGGGATTCGGGGATTCGCAACAGTGTTAGCGTTTTGGGTTTTCTTTTGTTTTTGAGTTTTTAATGCTTCTGTCCTCCGATCATCTTAGAAAACCAATTTTATCCGTAAGGTTTGGGGATTAAGAACAGTTTTTCAGGATGGAAGAGCCAATTGTGATTTTTTTTTTTTTTTTTTTTTTGTGTGTGTTTTTTTTTTTTTGCCTTGTTATTTCATAAAACAGCATGGTCAATCTAGAAATTTTTGACATTTGTTTTAATTTATTTTTAATCATTGTGTATGAAAAGACTGTGATCAGGACAGTGTATACAGACGTATGGAAGATTCCCTGTGCGATATGATTGCTATTGTCTGCGGCTCGCTCGGCCCTCGGACGTTTCTTATTAACGTAAGGTGTATCATCAAAAGTCACGTATATAGCAGCTGGGTCTTTCGCTTCTACGTGTGATATATTTTTTATTATGAGATGAAATGGAGTTGGGTGTTATGGAAAGACGCATATATTATCCCATGGTGGTAAAGCTATTTGTAGAGCTGCAAACAAAAAAAAAATCTGTTGGTAGTGTTACACTCCTTGTTTTGCTATGCAACCTGAAAAATCTCAGCTTGTAAGAATCTCAAGTATATGGAGGCTTGTTTTTGCCACAGAATAACACAAATAAATGGGTAATTGTTTAGGTAATTCATTTTTAATCATTTAAAATAATTCCGACTTATTTCTCTCAGTTCTGTGTATGTGTCTTGAATTGATTTAAACTTAGAATTCTAGTTTTAAAAATAAAAGTCAGAATTGAGATATCTAAACTGAAGAAATCAGAAATCTAAATTCAGAATTCCAGTTCTGGAAAAAGTCTGTGAATTCAGAATCCCAGTTCTGGAAAAAATCTGTGAATTCACAATTCCAGTTCTGGAAAAAATCTGGGAATTCAGAAATCCAGTTCTGGAAAAAAATCTGTAAATTCAGAATTCCAGTTCTGGAAAAAAAATCTGTAAATTCAGAATCCCAGTTCTGGAAAAAAAATCTGTAAACTCAGAATTCTAGTTCTGAAAAAAATCTGTAAACTCAGAATTCCAGTCCTGAAAAAAAGTCTGTGAATTCAGAATTCCAGTTCTGAAAAAAAATCTGTAAACTCAGAATTCCAGTTCTGGAAAAAATCTGTGAATTCAGAATTCCAATTCTGGAAAGAAATTTGTAAACTCAAAATTCCAGTTCTGGAAAGAAATTTGTAAACTCAGAATTCCAGTTCTGTAAAGAAATCTGTAAACTCAGAATTCCAGTTCTGGAAAGAAATCTGTAAACTTAGAATTCCAGTTCTGGAAAGAAATCTGTAAACTTAGAATTCCAGTTCTGGAAAGAAATCTGTAAACTCAGAATTCCAGTTCTGGAAAAAATCTGTAAACTCAGAATTCCAGTTCTGGAAAAAATCTGTAAACTCAGAATTCCAATTTATAAAAAAGGTCAAAATTGCGAGATGTAAACTCAAAATTCCAGTAAAAATAAAAACTCAGAATTGCGAGATGAAAACTCAGTCCCGATTTAAAAGAAAAAAAAAAAAGCCAGAGATGTAAGCTCAGAATTGTCATGTATATAACCCTAACCCTAACTATAACCCTAACTTGGAATTGAGAAATCAAGTCAGAATTGTGTGATTTTAAAAAGTCGCAATTTTACCTTTTTACATATTTTTAATTAAATAGCAGAAACAAGCTTCCATGCAAGTATCTTATCACTTTGTTCACTTTAATATTCACAGCTCAGCGAGTGTTGATTGATATTCGCACCAGTGTGAACGCCATGATATCATGATGGATAAAAGCAAGTGTTTATATCAGAGGGCTCAGGAAGATTTTATAAAGCAAACAGTCCAAAAGATGGACACTGTTCTTTTAAACTACCCATCAGCCTCGAGTCGTCTAGCAACGCACAAGATGGAACGGCTGAGGCTTTGAGGAACCTTTCGTGAGGTGTCGGAAGTCTGGGAGAAACATTTATGATATATCCATTTAAGCTTTAGTCCAACCCTTTGCCTTAAAAGTCAGAGATTTGTCTATGAAACCACTTTTATAAGCATTAATTTAACCTCTGTACTGAGAGAAAATGTTCAGGTTTTATGAAAGTGTTTGAGGCGTTTGAAATGAAAGAGTGCTGTACCTCATCTGCCAAAACCTCCTTTTTAATGGTAGACTAGTGAGAATTTAACAACAGGTTCACACATTTCATCCTAGCTGTGTTCAGACGTCAGACTGTACACACAAAGCAAGATGATACAGAACTTATTGTCTCATTATCACACATGCCCTGTTACTAATGCTTATTATTTTCCATGCAAAATACCTAAAACACACGGAGTAAATTTGACTTGTCTTTTTTTTTTTTTTTTGTCCTATTTGATTTATTTTGTACTATACATGGCTTCGGAAAGATGTTTCTGAATATGTGGGATGTTTTGATTGTTGCACCTAACAATCCGCAGCCTGAAGGTCAAGATTTATTTAAATAAATGCTAAGAAAGGCCACTGCACATGCTGTTACAATACAGATGTACATAATAGTGCCGTGGTGTACACACTCTCTACAATTATGAGTGATCATTTTATTGCCACAAAAGGATAAGAAAATAAAGACTATTGAACACAGATGCGAGTTGGTCTTTATGGGAGCACTGGATACAAAAATCAATCTCTTCAAAATGAAGGTCCTGAAAACGTTCTTATTTGATTGGTTGGTTTTGCAGTGATGCTATTGAACCACCTTTCAGTGAACAGAACCATCTTTTGTTTGTTTGTTTTTGTGAAGAACATGTTTTACACCATAAAGAACCTTTAGTGGAGCCATGGATGCGGAAGGTCCTTCAAGGAACCATCAATGTCAATAAAGAACCTTTATTTTGAATTGTGTATGGATGGGAATTCTGAAAGGTGTGGCAAACAGAACATGAACAATGATTTTATAACGTTCTAATACACTTGGATGTAGGCTACATTTAGGAAATGTAAGAAGCTCTTCCAACCACTAGATGGCGTAGTATCATCTCTAATGCATATACTACACTAAAATTGAGAGCAAACGCCACATCCGGCAGCAATACACATTTAAAGGAAAAGTTCACTTTAAAAAATAAAAAAGTTTGCTGATAATTTACTCACCCCCATGTCATCCAAGATGGTAACCAAACGGTTCAAGGTCCAAAAGACAGTTCCAGTTCAAACTGTTCAAAGGGCTTTAAAGGGTTAGTTCACCCAAAAATGAAAATTAAGTCATTAATTACTCACCCCCATGCTGTACCAACCCCGTAAGACCTTCGTTCATCTTCGGAACACAAATAAAGATATTTTTGATTGAATCTGAGAGCTCGATCAGTCCTACATAGACTGCCTAAGGGACTGGCTCTTAGAAAAGGTTTAAATATTCCATGTGCCTACAGCGGCTCAATTATAAGTTTATCAAGCGACGAGACTACTTTTTGTGCGAAAAAAACATAAATAACGACTTAATTCGACTATTCCATTACTTCCTTATGGGCGCATGCGCGAGAACTGAGACGAGGACGTTCTTCTCCTTCGACTACTTTTTGTTACCGGCTGCTCACCGCTTAGGAGTTTTACCGCCCCCTACCGTATAAGATGATGTGCTGATATAGCTGGAAGCGCAAAACTTTCTGTTTACAAGCAGAGGAAGATGCGCGCTGTACATACGCTTTTTTCAATTAGCGTATTTTCCGCACTATAAGGTGCACTTAAAAGCCTTTAATCTTCTCAAAAAACGACAGTGTTCCTTATAATCCGGAGCGCCTTATATATGGATCATCATTTTATACGGTAGGTGGCGGTAATACTCATAAGCGCGGCGAGCAGCCGGTAACAAGAAGTAGACGAAGGAGAACGTCCTCGTCTCAGTTCTCGCGCATGCGCCCATAAGGAAGTAATGGAATAGTAGAAAAAAGTCGTTATTTATGTTTTTTTCGCACAAAAAAGAGTCTCGTCGCTTGATAAACTTATAATTGAGCCGCTGTAGGCACATGGAATATTTAAACCTTTTCTTTAATGACTTTATGGGCCGTCAAGAGTCAGTCCCTTAGGCATTCTATGTAGGACTGATCCAGCTCTCAGATCCAATCAAAAATATCTTTATTTGTGTTCCGAAGATGAACGAAGGTCTTACGGGGGTTGGTACAGCATGGGGGTGAGTAATTAATGACCTAATTTTCATTTTTGGGTGAACTAACCCTTTAAACGATTCCAGACGATGAATAAGGGTCTTATCAAGCAAAACGATTGCTCATTTAAAAAAAATTAACAAAGTTTTAGTTTTATAAGCTCAAGTGCTCGCCTTGCTCTGTTCTGTGATGTGCGTTTTGACTCCAGTTCAAACTCGTTCATCAAAGTGAACGAATCCTTTCCCGAGTCAATTTGTTCGTTGAATGAACCAAATGACACGAAAAAAGACTCATTCATTTTGATGAACCAGTTCGAACAGGAGAGTCATGAACGTGCATCACAGAACAGAGCAAGGCGACCATTTGAGCTTATAAAACTGAAACTTTGTTAATTTTCTTTAAATGAGCAATCGTTTTGCTTGATAAGACCCTTATTCATCGTCTGGAATCGTTTAAAGGCTTTTGAACAGTTTGAACTGAAACTGTCTTTTGGACCTTGAACCGTTTGGTTGCCAGTAAATTACATTATATGGAGAAAATCCTGGAATGTTTTCATCAAAAACCTTAATTTCTTTTCGACTGAAGAAAGATTGACAAGGATATTTTGGATGACATGGGGGTGAGTAAATTATCAGCAAAAGTTTTTTTTTTTTTTTTAAAGTGAACTACTCCTTTAAACAGTTGTGCGCCACATTATTAAACAATCTCATTATGCCTAGTTGATTTCATCAAATGGTCCTCTGCTAAGACAAAATACAGTTTTGCTTTTGATTATAAATATATTACCTTGAGTTCAGTCAAAACAGAATAGAGCGAATTTTTCACGTCATTGCCCCAGTCTACAGTGTCACATAATCTTTCAGAAATCATGATTTGATGCTCAAGAAACATTTGTGCCAATGTTGAAAACAGTTATGCTGCTTACTATTTTTTGTGGAAAGTGTAGAAAGATCAAAAAACAGCATTTACTTGAAATAAAAATGGTTTGTAACATTATGAATGTATTTACTGTCAGTTTTGATCAATTTAAAGCATCTTTGCACTGCAGAATAGGCTTACTCTTAAAAAATAAATAAAAAATCTTACTGACCTTCCCTTAGCAACTTATGAATATATATGTATACAGACTGTATAAATATATAGCAGGAATTAAAACTGAAGTGTGCTTTTCCCCGCATTGTTAAGTTGGTGACATGCCTATTGTCCCAATAGTTTATTACCTATAACTTACACTAGCATTTTTATCACTAAATTATATCATGTGGCTAACGACAATCCTACAGGAAAATGACCAAAAAAATATTTCCCAAGGCATGTTGCTCAATGTTCTGACGTCAAAAAGGAAATAAAACTGGCAAATATTTTAATTATTCTTTGAAGACAAGAGCGATTCATATGATTCACAACAGGAAGGAAGCGGCCAGTTAATATTTATCTTCCCTAAAGGAAGACATCAAGTTACAATAGGTTACATAATAATGTTAAACACGTGCACTCTGTGCATTATGCTTGAGTGATGTGATGTCAGTGTAATGAAAAAATGAAAAGATGCACCTGTAAGTGATGCATCTTTCAGATGTCTGAATGCAACACCCCACAGAGGCCTTGCTTTGTGCCAGGACATTGCTGGGATGTTGAGAAATACAGTCCTATAATCACTGAAGATGAGGATTTGCATGTATTCCCGTCAATGAACTGTGTGATCCCTCCCTGCAACCCCCTCCATAAAGCATTATCATTAACTAAAACTAAGATATTAAGGAGAACCTTTTAATTTCTTAAAATAAAAGAACCATTAAATTAAATTAAAAAAATAAAAATAAAAAACAAGCAATTTTTTAAAAAAATTATATATAGCTCTAGCTGTAACTCTATTTTGTAGTTATTTCATAAATACATCATATTTGCCTTTAATTGCCCTTACCATATGTCTCTAGATGAAGAAATACCAAAAACTCCCAAACACATTTAGGGGAAAAATGTAATTGATGTTCAACAAATAAAAAACAGGTATCGCTTTCTTCAAAAGCACTTCGCCTGTTAATGATATGATACTGATGGCTGTGCTGTGTTTGACAGAAACCTGGCTAAAACAAGACGATTACATTACTTTAAATGTGTCCATTTATAAACATGAGGCTGGTCTGAAAGTCAAAGGGGAGGTGTTGCTGTGATAGATTAAACATGAACTATTGTAATAAGTAGTTGCATTCTTTATTCGTTATATTTTCTGAACTACATGCATTAGTTATCATCATCAACAACTTTTAACTATAAATGTTCATCTATCTATATAATAAAGTACACAACCAAACAATGAAAAAGATCTTGTAATTAAGACTGTAACATTTACTTACCTGTCGAGAAGAAAGCAGGACTTTGCAGGTTGTAATCTGCGGTCACGTTTCCTTTTACGATCTATTTTTTGACTTTTCTGGCGACGATGATTTGTAATAGGCTACAGCTTTTAAACTTGCCGGGCAGTGAGCCCCCGCTTCTGCAAGCCCCGTGACCAAGCGACACGATACCATTAAAGGGGGGGTTGACTGCTTTTTTTCTTTGCATGATTGTGTTTATGGGGTGCAATATAATTCGTGATTTTTCGTTTTTAAAAAGTCTTATTTTTCATAAACTTCTGTCCTCGAACGAGCGGTTGACTTCCTCAGTCTATGAAACCACCCCCTCAGAAACACGAAGTGGGCTCAGATTGGTTAGTTTGGCCCGGTGTGTTGTGATTGGCTAAACTGTCGCTTACGTTATCCGGAAAGTTAACGCCCATTACCTTTACGGGCGAAATGGGAACGTCATGAGCTCCGGTCCAGATGTAAATATGAAAAAAAAAAAAAAAAAAAAAAAAAAAAAATGCGTCGAACTTCATACAGTATAATCCAGAATCTGACCGAGAAAGCCGCGATGAAGAGAGTCAAACAGAACCTCACCACACACGGCTCTAAACGTTTCTGAATGATAATTTGCTACATTTTCTAACTTTATACACGTTTGTTTAACACATAGCATCTGACTGGCAACAATAGCAACTGACTGGCTACTAATGTCATACTCAAACAGCGGTGGCAAGTTTACGTTCTTGATCAAATCGAAAATAACGTCATAAAACATACATACATGAAAAATACATTTACAACATTAGCATACAAAATTCAATTTGTCGTAGATACAAAATAGCATAACTGATATAGCCTAGTGGCAATAAAGCTAGCGCTGGCATTTGAAAAAACTAAAACACAAGGCAACGTCTGGAATTATATTACATGCAAATACCAGTGTTGTAGTCGAGACCACCTCACTCGAGTCCGAGTCGACACCGAGACCAGAGAGAGTCGAGTCCGAGTCAAGACCGAGTCCATAGAGAGTCGAGTCCGAGACCAGAGACGGTCGAGTCCGAGTCGAGACCGAGACCAGTGAGGGTTGATTACCTAATTTACTTTTATTTACTTAGAGAAATCCTTTTTTTTTTTTTACTGAATTTACTTTTAAAAAATATGATCAGTTTAGGGTAAAAAGGCCACAGTAGGTGGTGTTAAAAGTAATTTTATTGTCATGCGCAGTTGCGCACTAGAAAATCACCAATCACTGGGCGTGTCAATCAATTTAAAGAAATATTTTATTAACATACATTAATAATCATGAAAAATATTTTTAATTGAACTCGAGTGGAGTCGGGAATAATTCCGAGTCCTAAAAAAAAAAAATGTTCGAGTACGAGTCAATTCCGAGTCCAACTGGACACGAGTCCATGACAAGACCAAGACCATTAAAATATGGTCTCGAGACCGAGTCCGAGACGAGTCTGAGTCTCGAGTACTACAACACTGGCAAATACATTTAAAATGGTTAAGTCTTAGCCTACTTACAGGTTGTGGCCCAACAACTGCTGCCTCTGGTTTTAAAGTTGGAACAGCTTCATGTTTCTGTAACAGTTTCTTGTTGAATACGGTGTTGAACTCGTGGAGATTCTGGAAGCTGTCTTGTAAAATGCGCAGCACAGTGAGCTAGATTACGATCGTCATTTTCAGGAACAAAATCAAACATAAATTGTATCCATTGTTGACGAAGTACAGCGTCCGTGGGAAGTTCGAAGACATAAGACCTGACAGCTGCGTGAACAACACACTCGACGAGCTGCTGGAGCTGCTGAAATATGCTTTTCTGCTTATTCCGGAGGGAGTGGTTAATGCAAATGTGTGGGTTAGTGATGTACCATAACCCAGCTGTAGTCCTAATCCAGTCGTTTTTGTAGGCAATATACTTCCTGATTTTTTTAAAAGACGATATCTCTGCTTACACTGAACTTTCAGCGCTGCAACTTTGCAGATACTGTTCATGCACCAACAGCAACATTACACACTATTTCAAATGAAAAAAGTGAAATCGCAGTCAACCCCCCATGGTGAGCGGGCGACTTCTGGCGACAAGCGTTAATTCGATGAGCAAAACAATGCCTGATCAACGTTGTTTCGATGTCATGTTTCCACGTTGATTCAATGTCAGTTTGCTATCTGGGTTACTAGATCAATGATCGATCAATCAACAAATTAAACTCACTCATACTGGCACAAATTACAAAAACGTCATTCGAATTTGACAAATGATCAATTTTCTTTATCCCTAATAATCAACGTAATGCAGGGGGAATCGTAAAATGAACTGCAGCAGTGCTAAACGTGCATCATAAAATTAATACACTCGAACTAGCCTATAACGTTAAATATGAATTAAACTCACTGAGACTGTCGACAGTTTCTATTCCGTGCATGATTTTATTATCCATGTATGTGGTTACAGTCAAATCAATCGTCCTCGGACTCGTACTCTTTCTTACTGTCTTGCCTGCACGAGATGGTGACGTGAGCTCCAAAGTCTTCTTTCCTAATGGTTGTCGCTCGCGAAAAATTGCTTCTCATTTGCATAAAGTTGAAAATTCTCAACTTTTGTCGCTTGTTTCTTGTCGCATGACACACCCACATTCTGTCGCCAACGGTCACTGTCGTGTCACAGGATGTCGCCAGCACTCCATTGAAATGAATGGGATCTTGTCGCTTTGTCGCTGTGAGTTGCTGGCTCTCCGCTTCTATGGGTGACGTCATGCGACTTTAACGCGCCCGCAAAGCATACCGGGAAAAATTCATTTGGAAAAATGCTGCGCGTCAAAAAGCTGTCCGATGCCCATCTTTATGCAAATGAAGTCCGTTGAACGCACCGCGACTATCCAATAGAAGTAGAGCATATGGAGACAGAGGGAAGTCTCTCGCAGGTCCTCTGTTCTAGACTGGCCGCTGGCTCAAAACCTCGCCCATAGCGGTAAATTTGAGGAACGCCCATCAAAGTACAAATGTGGGGAGGCGTCGCGACAACACGCACTTGTCCGACACGACAGCCGCGTGTTGTCCTGACGCCTTCCCACATTTGTACTCGCCCCACACTAACACAGTAACATAATGAGGGTCTCTAAATGTAAAACGAAGCATTGAGAACTTTGTAAGTGTACAGACTGTTTAATAAAAAGATACTTTATAAAGCCAATCCACTTCGTGTATACCCAAGCAGGAGAAAACAGTCTTGACAAGTCGAACCACGAACACTGTTCATATAGTTCAGTGAACTTCATACAGTTCAGCTCACTTGGCACGTCGTTTGTGATTCGACTTATCGAGACTGTTTTCCAAAGACAGCTCCTGCCGTGTATAAACGAAGTGGACTTCATAAGTTCTTATTAAATGGTCTGTACACCTACAAAGTTCTTAATGCTTCATTTTGCATGTAGGGACCCTTATCATGTGACTGTTAGTGTGGGGTTATTTTAAGCCTTGTTAGTGGTATTAACTATAGCGATTTCTTTTTACTTATTAAATGCCCTCATACTAGCATTATAAGGTAAACAGTTTTTAGAGATTTAACTCTTTACATTTGATTATGAAAACAGATCTTAGAGAACGGTTAACTAGGTACCAAAGTTTTATTAGACCAAAGGTTCTTTTTGCGCCAGAGTTCTCCTTTAAACGTGCCAAATTAATGAAACTTCAGGCAAATGAATTGATTTCCATTTTTTTATTTTTTTATTTTTTTTTAACAGGGAAACCACTGGTTTAAAAAAAAAAAAAAAAAAAAAAAAACGTTAACTGCATGCATGGCTTTCTTTATGGCCAGGAGGACCCCCCTTAGAACCAGGACATTGGGCATTAGGGTGAGCTTGACAGTTTTCAGCACATACTGCAGGCTTTGCTGGTTCGGCCGCAGGCTTCACTACAGGCTCTGGTTGACTCCCCTTAGCGCCAGAACATTGGGCATCGGGGTGAGTTTGAGATTTTTCAGCACATACTGCAGGCTTTGCTGGTTCGGCCACAGGCTTCACTGGTGGCTTTGCTGGTTCAGCCGCAGGCTTCACTACAGGCTCTGGTTGACTCCCCTTAGGGCCAGGACATTGGGCATCAGGGTGAGTTTTGTGAGAGTTTTCAGCACATACTGCAGGCTTTGCTGGTTCAGCCGCAGGCTTCACTGGTGGCTTTGCTGGTTCAGCCGCAGGCTTCACTACAGGCTCTGGTTGACTCCCCTTAGGGCCAGGACATTGGGCATCAGGGTGAGTTCTGTGAGAGTTTTCAGCACATACTGAAGGCTTTGCTGGTTCAGCTGGAGGCATCACTACAGGCTCTGGTTGACTCCCCTTAGGGCCAGGACATTGGGCATCAGGGTGAGTTTGACAGTTTTCAGCACATACTGCAGGCTTTGCTGGTTCAGCCGCAGGCTTCACTGGTGGCTTTGCTGGTTCAGCCGCAGGCTTCACTACAGGCTCTGGTTGACTCCCCTTAGGGCCAGGACATTGGGCATCAGGGTGAGTTCTGTGAGAGTTTTCAGCACATACTGCAGGCTTTGCTGGTTCAGCCACAGGCTTCACTGGTGGCTTTGCTGGTTCAGCCGCAGGCTTCACTACAGGCTCTGGTTGACTCCCCTTAGGGCCAGGACATTGGGCATCAGGGTGAGTTCTGTGAGAGTTTTCAGCACATACTGCAGGCTTTGCTGGTTCAGCCGCAGGCTTCCCTGGTGGCTTTGCTGGTTCAGCCGCAGGCTTCACTACAGGCTCTGGTTGACTCCCCTTAGGGCCAGGACATTGGGCATCAGGGTGAGTTCTGTGAGAGTTTTCAGCACATACTGCAGGCTTTGCTGGTTCGGCCACAGACTTCACTGGAGGCTTTGCTGGTTCAGCCACAGAGATACAGACAAAGAACAAAATGAATGTGACTTTCAGCATTCAGTGTTATGGAAAAAAAATGTGGTCAAAGATCAGAACAGGTTTTACAATCAAATACTAGTTCAGTCTTTCTACTTTATAGCTTCACATTTAGTTAACATTGTCCTCCAGAGCAGTCTTGATCACAACTGCATCCTCCATGGCACGACTGTCAACTGTAACAGACTCTACAGGAGTGTTGTAATGTTTACAACCTACCCCACTACTGGTAAGGTGTGTTATAGAAGCACAATGCAGATAGAAGATAAACAGTTAATAAGTTGTTCATAAGTTTCCTTTTACAACGAATTGTATGCTACTCTACATCATATTTTGTAAGGCACTTATTTATGCATTTCTTCAGGCTGTGTAAAGAAGCTAAAAGATCTTCTTACCTATGACTCCAGCGTGGTTTGTGCTGAAACATGCAAACAGACACAATAAAACGACACTCAATGAGCAGTACACTCGAGCTGTCATCCTCTCGACCTGCAACCTCACAACAATCAACTCTGCTAGAAGAAGATGCACTGAATTAGTCAGCCGGGGGGACAATGAAGCTCACAAACCTACACTGAAAAGAGATGTGCTGCTGAATCCCTTAAGATAAATTGCTGTCTAAAGATTTTATAGATCCAAGGAAGTCCGGGTAACTCCAACCCTGATGAAACTCACCTGTGTGTATCTTTCTAGAAGCCTAATCTAGAACACCTTGATTAGCTTGTTCAGGTGTGTTTGATTAGGTTTGGAGGAGTGGCGCTCTGGAGTGAAAAAAGCACAGGCAAGCCGGACAGATCTCATTTCTCGCAGTGGGTCTGACACGTGTGAGACCAAAGACTGAAATCGGGATTCAGGCTCGTGCACAGTGTTGCTAATAACCTGGATGTAATTTAAGTTCTGTTGCTTTTATATGAAAATAAATATAATGAACAAGAAACCCAAAGTACTTGTTATTTAATTACATTCCAAATATGTGTTTATCAATCATTTTTTCTTTAATACAGACATGTGTTTTTTATATATTGTTTTAATAAAAATGACATCACATAATAACTCATATCGCACTGTCAGACAGTTTATTCAATCATAACATATGTATACACATAAAACATGATATCAGAGTTTTAAAATCAAACATTTTAAAAAACAAAAATACATCACAGTTGTTTAAACCATAGACTGTATATACAGGAACGAACTGTATATACATATCCTATATTGGATATCAACATCTAATAGTCGCGGCAGCAGCTTCCGGTTGGTAGTCCAAGACATTGTTGTCTATCTGTCCTTCCAGGATTCTTCCCACCGAAGTCTCGCTTTCAAAATGGCAGCTGCATGAAATCAGCGTATAGTGGCAAAATGTCCCAACGATCCCCGCTTACCACTCACAAGCCAAACGCCCCATCCCACGAACACAATATTTGTCCGATTACCCACTATAGTGGCCAAATGTCCTGTTAACCATGCAGAGCTTTCAGATTGTAAAAAATGCAGATACATTTAGATAGTACAAACTCTTTCCCTTACAATCAAACTATGTGTATTGAAATCTAGGGTTTGTGTGCCTGGTATGACCTCATGTGATTCCATTACGGTACAATGTTGCCTCTAGGCAACTTGCAGTTTTTTGCAATTCCCTATGATACATTTGATATACAAAAATAATGTTTTTGAAAATACTTCTTTACTTGCCAATGAACGCGACTACGATTGTTTGTAGGTGATTATCTGGACAGAAATTAGTGAAAAATGCCCTTTTCAGTAGAGAAAATATGGAGCAATGTGACATGTGCAGAAATGAACACAATGGACCCCTCTGGGTCATGTTAACACTCTTTTGCATTTTCATTGGTTAGTATTTGAGTTCCCCTCCCCTTAGAGAGCATTGACCAATAAAATTGTACTCATTTTTATAAAAAAAAAAAAAAGCTAAGACCGTTGCCTGGAGGCAACACCGTACCATACAGGGTTAATTATTGTGAAGCACTTTGGCTAACAGCTGTTGCATTACACGTGCTAAATAAGTGAGACTTTTCAGGCAAATTAATTGATTTCCATTTTTTATTTGTTATACAGAGAAAACAGTGGAAAAATGAACACTTAACTGCATGCTTGGCTTTCTTTATGGCCAGGAGGACCCCCCTTAGAACCAGGACATTGGGCATTAGGGTGAGTTTGACAGTTTTCAGCACATACTGCAGGCTTTGCTGGTTCGGCCACAGGCGTCACTGGAGGCTCTGGGGGACCCCCCTTAGGTCCAGGAAATTCGGCATCAGGGTGAGTCTTTTGACAGTTTTCAGCACATACTACAGGCTTTGCTGGTTCGGCCGCAGGCTTCTCTGGTTGGGACGCAGGCATCACTACAGGCTCTGGAGGACCCCCCTTAGGGCCAGGACATTGGGTATCAGGGTGAGTCTTTTGACAGTTTTCAGCACAAACTGCAGGCTTTGCTGGTTTGGCCACAGGCTTCACTACAGGTTCTGGGGGACCCCCCTTACAACCAGGACATTTGCCATTAGGGTGAGTCTTTTGACAGTTTTCAGCACATACTGCAGGCTTTGCTGGTTCAGCCGCAGTCATCACTACAGGCTCTGGAGGACCCCCCTTAGGGCCAGGACATTCGGCATCAGGGTGAGTTTGACAGTTTTCAGCACATACTGCAGGCTTTGCTGGTTCGGCCGCAGGCTTCTCTGGTTGGGACGCAGGCATCACTACAGGCTCTGGAGGACCCCCCTTAGGGCCAGGACATTGGGCATTAGGGTGAGTTTGACAGTTTTCAGAACATACTGCAGGCTTTGCTGGTTCAGCCACAGGCTCCACTGGAGGCTTTGCTGGTTCGGCCACAGGCTTAACTACAGGTTCTGGGGGACCCCCCTTAGGGCCAGGACATTGGGCATTAGGGCGAGTTTGACCGGTTTCAGCACATACTGCAGGCTTTGCTGGTTCAGCCACAGGCTTCACTGGAGGCTTTGCTGGTTCGGCCACAGGCTTCACTACAGGCTCTGGAGGACCGCTCTTAGGGCCAGAACATTCGGCATCAGGGTGAGTCTTTTGACAGTTTTCAGTACAAACTGCAGGCTTTGCCAGTTCAGCTGCAGACTTCACTGCATAGATTCAGATAGTCAGCTTTAGTTAGTCCGTTTAGTAACATTTAGCACGATGTACAGCAAAAAAACAAAAAAAAAAAACAACAAAAAAAACCTCAAAGCATGAACAGTAACTTTTACTTACAGAAAACATTGTATTTTAAATATTATTCATCTGTTAAATTTGTAAAGCAAAACTGTGCTATCGGCTCAATACTTTTGACACACAACAATAAAATAAAGACGATCTGATGTAACGAGAAAGCCCACTAATAGATTAAAATATATAAATACCTGTATTTTGAGCCATACACTGACATCCACATCCATTGCTGCCACATTTCCCATGGTTGGGACAGTCACGGTCACAGGAACACATCTCAGCACAATTCCCTCCACCAGATTTCGTGCTTGGACTCGGTCCCGGCTTTGCTGTGATGAAGACACAGAACAGAAACATACAGTAACTGAGACTTTCAGCATTCAGTCTTATGAAAAAAAAAGTGGTCAAAGATCAGAACAGGTTTCACTTTATAGCTTCACATTTAGTTAACATTGCCCTACAGAGAAGTCTCAATCACAAGTACATCCTCCATGGCACGACCGTCAGCTTTACCAGACACTACAGGAGTGTTGTAATATTTTCAGCATTTGTAAGTCAGGTGTTTTGCAATGCCTGTCTCAAAATTGAAAATATTTGTATATTTATCGGCTTCATATCAAGTAGAAATACTATTTAGAACTAAATGGTCAATTAGTGTCAAGACACGAGTGCCGTTACAACCAGCCCCGCTACTGGTGAGGTGTTAAAAGCACAATGCAGATAGAAGATATCCAGTTAATAAGTTGTTCATAAATTTCCTTTTACAACTAATTGAACTGTACACCATATTTTGTAAGGCACTTATTTATGCATTTCTTCAGGCTGTGTAAAGAAGCTAAAAGATTTTCTTACCTATGACTCCAGCGTGGTTTGTGCTGAAACATGCAAACAGACACAATAAAACGACACTCAATGAGCAGTACACTCGAGCTGTCATCCTCTCGACCTGCGATCTCACCACAATCAACTCTGCTAGAAGAAGATGCACCAAATTAGTCAGCCGGGGGGACAATGAAGCTCACAAACCTACACTGAAAAGAGATGTGCTGCTGAATCCCTTAAGATAAATTGCTGTCTAAAGATTTTATAGATCCAAGGAAGTCTGGGTAACTCCAACCCTGATGAAACTCACCTGTGTGTATCTTTCTAGAAGCTTAATCTAGTGCTGTGTCTGAAACCGCTCACTCGTTCACTCATTCACTAATCCCTATATAGTGTATGGCATTTGAGTGCACTATATCTGCAAGGAGTGAACGAGATGAAGTGAGTGAATTCGGACGCTGACGTTTACACTGTGCGTCGGAGAGTTGGAGCTGTCGCAGAAAAGGCTTCGTCACGCGTACTGATAAAACTTATCTTAAAATAATATTAACAACAATAACAATCATAATGACTTTATTTTGTAATTATACCTCCGTGCCAGCTTTGTAGTTTCATCGACTGAAATTGTACATCAACTCTCACGTTCACAGATGACGTGTTGTCGAGCGCCCTCCGGCGACCGTTATTATGTTCAAAACGACGATTAACGGATATTTTTCAAATCCTCCACTGGATGTAATGTAATCTCTGGTTTAAACTTGCTCGCGCCGAACTTTCATGCGCGCTCAGTTCTCTCCGCATTGGATTGTGGGAAATAGGGCTTCAGCGAGTGTACATCGAATGTACACTCGAATTCAGAGAGGATTGTGGGTAAAAGTAGTGAATGAATGTAGGGAATGATGTCGTTCACTCAGAATTCGGACACCACTACAAAATGGCCGACACCCGATGTAGTGCACTATATATTGAATAGGGAGCGATTTCAGACACAGCCTAGAACACCTTGATTAGCTTGTTCAGGTGTGTTTGATTAGGTTTGGAGGAGTGGCGCTCTGGAGTGAAAAAAGCGCAGGCAAGCCGGACAGATCTCATTTCTCGCAGTGGGTCTGACACGTGTGAGATCAAAGACTGAAATCGGGATTCAGGCTCGTGCACAGTGTTGCTAATAAACTGGATGTAATTTAAGTTGCTTTTTATATGAATTAAATATAATGAACAAGAAACTCAAAGTACTTGTTATTGAATTACACTCCAAATATGTGTTTATCAATCATTTTTTTCTTTAATACAGACATGTGTTTTTTATATATTGTTTTAATAAAAATGACATCACATAATAACCCCTATCGCACTGTCAGAGAGTTTATTCAATCATAGCATATGTATACACATAAAACATGATATCAGAGTTTTAAAATCAAACATTTTAAAAGACAACAATACATCACGGTTGTTTAAACCAATGAGCATTAAGCTGTGTCGACAGCAAGTGGTTTCCCATCATGCTTTTGATCAGCGCAGTCGGTGGAGAGCAACTCTGCCCTATAAAGGCAAAAGACCTTAAAGATGAAACTGAACTGAAAAAAAAATAATAGACGTCGAAAACGTGTTTTTTATGGCAATTAAAAGTAAATGACACTAAAATTTTTAATGAAAAAATATGAACATATAGCTTTTAATCAGCAACACAAAAATTGCACTTGTTATTAGTATAAGAGTGCTGGCAATTTCGATGACGTCACTGGCATGGTAGGACCCGCGGAGGTGTATAGACAACAGCTGCAGGTCATACACAGACGAAAATGAGCACTTTTAACAGCATGGGTTACACCTTTGAGCCTGTGAGGGACAGGCCAGTAGTATCTGACTGCCACCACATGGAGGCCCAACAAACTGACATTAAATCAACGTGGAAACATGACATCGAAACAACGTTGATCTGGCATTGTTTTGCTCATCGAATTAACGTTGAACCAACATTAGACGCTACATTCTTCAAAACTAACTGAAAATCAACTTGAAATCAACATCGTTTCAACGTTAGGAAAGCAAACCAATTGCGTCGATTTTCAGTTAGTTTTGAAGAACGGCGCGTCCGACGTTGGCTCAACGTTAATTCGATGAGCAAAACAATGCCAGATATGTCATGAGAAACGTCGTTTCTGTGTTCTACATTGGTTTCAGCTGTCTGCCCTATAATTGTGCGTGTACTTGGCTCATCCCGCGGATTTATTCCGGACGCTGTGTTTTGTATGCATGCTTTTAACAGATGTTGTATGCACAAGCCCTTCTTGCTTCATTATGTTGTATACACCAATTTTGTATACACGTTGGGTCAGCTTATTCGTGGATCCTCAGGTGGCTGTAGAGGCCGATCCTTGATCCACAGATTCTGCTGCAGTGTTGGCATTGAAAGGTTGAGGTGTTGTGCTGTGGTTGGGCCTTTCTCTGTGTGTCCTTGCGGTGCTTCCACTTTGCATCTGCGGCACGGCGAAGTTCTGTTTCGTGGTGTGCTGCACCTTAAAGCACTGCCTATCTCCAATAGGACCTGTTAAATGCTAGATTCTCCCAGTCGCCAGATATGATGTTAAACTTTTTCAGGTTGGTCTTAATATTGTCCTTAAAGCGTTTCTTTGGCCCAGCAGGGGCTTGCTGTCCTTCCTTTAGCTGGGAGTACAGGATCTGCTTTGGGAGATGGTTGTTGGGCATGCGGATGACATGTCCTGTCCATCAGTTGGTGCTGCATTATACAGTAATGGTAGTGATGCTGGGCATATTTGTTTCTTCCAGAATACTGGAGTTTGTACGTTTGTCTTCCCAATTGATCCTCAAGATTTTCCTTAAGGCTCTTTGATGAAATAGTTCCAGTGCTCTCAGATGTCTGCTGTAGATTGTCCAGGAATCAGCTCCATACAACAGAGTTGGGAGGATCACAGCTCTGTAAACCAGGACCTTGGTTTGAGCCCTCAGGTCTCGGTCATCAAAGACTCTTGTCCTGAGTTTGGCATAGACTCCGCTGGCACAGCTCAGGCGATGTTTAACTTCACAGTCTATATCAGCTTTGGAGGAGAGAATGCTGCCAAGGTAGGTGAAATGATCAACGTTTTCCAGAGAGGTGTTATCCACTTTGATAACTGGCTGTTGTGTTTGCTGTTTAGGTGGTGGTTGATACAGAACCTTAGTTTTCTTGGTGTTCAAGGCCAAACCCAGGGCTCTGTATGCATTGGCAAAGGCATTTAGAATGCCCTGGAGGTCTTCAAGGGAGTGTGCTGCAATGGCGTTATCATCGGCATTTTGCAGCTCTATGATGGTGGTACTCCTGACTTTACTTTTGGCTTTAAACCTGTTGAGATTGAAGAGCCTGCCGTCAGTCCTTTAAAGGATTGGGATCCCCTCTGGTAACTCTTGGCCAGTAAGGTGAAGTATGGCTGCAATGAAGATGGTGAATAAGGTGGGTGCAATGATACATCCCTGTTTTACCCCAGTTTCTACAGTAAATGACTCAGATTCAGAGCCACCGTTGAGCACTGTGGCTGACATGCCATCATGCAGTAGTCTTAGCACACGGATGTATTTAGCATGACATCCATATTTTGATAGTATGCTCCACAGTGCCTGCCGATCCACCGAGTTAAAGGCCTTTGTCAAATCTATAAAGGCCATGTACAGAGGCAGTCCTTGTTCCCGACACTTTTCTTGTAGTTGGCGAGCAGAAAAGATCATGTCAGTTGTTCCCCTAGATGACCGGAAACCACACTGTGATTCAGGGAGTATCTGCTCAGATAATGGTTGCAGGCAGTTGGCGAGGACACGAGCAAGAGCTTTGTCTGTTGTTGACAAAAGCGAGATGCCTCTGTAGTTTCCACATTCAGCCTTGTCCCCTTTCTTGAATATGGGAACAATTTGGGCATCGCGGAGCTCTGTGGGGAGCTCTTCCCTTTCCCAGACCTTGATGAGTAGATGGTGGATGAGCTTTGGTCCTCCTTCCTTTAGAATCTCCACGGGGATCCCAGAAGGACCAGTAGCCAAATGGCCAAATGTCCCGTCAACCTCCATTGACCACTCACAAGCCATATGCCCCCGTCCCACAAACCCACTATTGTGGCCAAATGTCCCATCAACCCCCGATGACCAATCACAAGCCACGCCCTGTCCCAAGAACTCACTATTTGCCCAATTGCCCACTATATGCTGATTTCACACAGCCGTCATTTTGAAATGATTGCAGTGGGAAGAAAACCGAAAGTGTAGACTACATAAAAATGTACATACATTTCATTCATAGTTTAGACTATATACAGTGAAACTTATACATTTATAAATACATTTTTTAAAAATATATATTCAGAACATTAAAAAACAGGAACACACTGTATTTACAAATCCTATATTGGATATTAACATCTAATAGTCACGGCAGCAGCTTCAGGTTGGTAGTCCAAGACATTGTTGTCTATCTGTACTTACAGGATTCTTCCCACCGGAGCCTCGCTTTCGATTTCAAAATGACAGCTGCGTGACATCAGCGTATAATGGCCAAATGTCCCGTCGACCCCCGCTGACCACTCCCAAGCCACATGTCCCAGTCCCACAAACCCACTATTTGCCCGATTACCCATTATATTGACCAAATGTCCTGTCGACCTCCGCTGACCACTCACAAGCCAAACGCCCCATCCCATGAACCCACTATTTCACCGATTACCCACTATAGTGGCCAAATGTCCCGTCGACCCCCGCAGACCACTCACAAGCCAAGCCCCCATTCCTCGAACACAATATTTGTCCGATTACCCACTATAGTGGCCAAATGTCCTGTTAACCATGCAGAGCTTTCAGATTGTAAAAAATGCAGATACATTTAGATAGTACAAACTCTTTCCCTTACAATCAAACTATGTGTATTGAAATCTAGGGTTTGTGTGCCTGGTATGACCTCATGTGATTCCATTACGGTACAACGTTGCCTCTAGGCAACTTGCAGTTTTTTGCAATTCCCTATGATACATTTGATATACAAAAATAATGTTTTTGAAAATACTTCTTTACTTGCCAATGAACGCGACTACGATTGTTTGTAGGTGATTATCTGGACAGAAATTAGTGAAAAATGCCCTTTTCAGTAGAGAACATATGGAGCAATGTGACATGTGCAGAAATGAACACAATGGACCCCTCTGGGTCATGTTACCACTCTTTTGCATTTTCATTGGTTAGTATTTGAGTTCCCCTCCCCTTAGAGAGCATTGACCAATAAAATTGTATTCATTTTTATTAAAAAAAAACAAAACAAAAAACTAAGACCGTTGCCTGGAGGCAACACCGTACCATAGAGGGTTAATTATTGTGAAGCACTTTGGCTAACAGCTGTTGCATTACACGTGCTAAATAAGTGAGACTTTTCAGGCAAATTAATCGATTTCCATTTTTTATTTGTTAAAGATAAAACAATGGAAAAATGAACACTTAACTGCATGCTTGGCTTTCTTTATGGCCAGGAGGACCCCCCTTAGAACCAGGACATTGGGCATTAGGGTGAGTTTGACAGTTTTCAGAACATACTGCAGGCTTTGCTGGTTCAGCCACAGGCTTCACTGGAGGCTTTGCTGGTTCAGCCACAGGCTTCACTACAGGTTCTGGGGGACCCCCCTTAGGGCCAGGACATTGGGCATTAGGGTGAGTTTGACCATTTTCAGCACATACTACAGGCTTTGCTGGTTCGGCCACAGGCTTCACTTGAGGCTTTGCTGGTTCGGCCACAGGCTTCACTACAGGTTCTGGGGGACCCCCCTTAGGGCCAGGACATTGGGCATTAGGGTGAGTTTGACAGTTTTCAGCACATACTGCAGGCTTTGCTGGTTCAGCCGCAGGCTTCCCTGGTTGGGACGCAGGCATCACTACAGGCTCTGGAGGACCCCCCTTAGGGCCAGGACATTGGGTATCAGGGTGAGTCTTTTGACAGTTTTCAGCACATACTGCAGGCTTTGCTGGTTCGGCCGCAGGCTTCACTAAAGGCTTTGCTGGTTCGGCCACAGGCTTCACTACAGGTTCTGGGGGACCCCCCTTACAACCAGGACATTGGGCATCAGGGTGAGTCTTTTGACAGTTTTCAGCACATACTGCAGGCTTTGCTGGTTCGGCCGCAGGCTTCACTAAAGGCTCTGGAGGACCCCCCTTAGGGCCAGGACATTCGGCATCAGGGTGAGTTTGACAGTTTTCAGCACATACTGCAGGCTTTGCTGGTTCGGCCGCAGGCTTCACTAAAGGCTTTGCTGGTTCGGCCACAGGCTTCACTACAGGTTCTGGGGGACCCCCCTTACAACCAGGACATTGGGCATCAGGGTGAGTCTTTTGACAGTTTTCAGCACATACTGCAGGCTTTGCTGGTTCGGCCGCAGGCTTCACTAAAGGCTTTGCTGGTTCGGCCACAGGCTTCACTACAGGTTCTGGGGGACCCCCCTTACAACCAGGACATTGGGCATCAGGGTGAGTCTTTTGACAGTTTTCAGCACATACTGCAGGCTTTGCTGGTTCGGCCGCAGTCATCACTACAGGCTCTGGAGGACCCCCCTTAGGGCCAGGACATTCGGCATTAGGATGAGTTTGACAGTTTTCAGAACATACTGCAGGCTTTGCTGGTTCAGCCACAGGCTTCACTGGAGGCTTTGCTGGTTCGGCCACAGGCTTCACTACAGGCTCTGGAGGACCGCTCTTAGGGCCAGGACATTGGGCATCAGGGTGAGTCTTTTGACAGTTTTCAGTACAAACTGCAGGCTTTGCCAGTTCAGCTGCAGACTTCACTGCATAGATTCAGATAGTCAGTTTTAATTAGTCCGTTTAGTAACATTTAGCCCGATGTACAGAAAAAAAAAAAAAAAAAAAACCCTCAAAGCATGAACAGTAACTTTTACTTACAGAAAGCATTGTATTTTAAATATTATTCATCTGTTAAATTTGTAAAGCAAAACTGTGCTATCGGCTCAATACTTTTGACACACAACAATAAAATAAAGACGATCTGATATAACGAGAAAGCCCACTAATAGATAAAAATATATAAATACCTCTATTTTGAGCAATACACCGACATCCACATCCATTGCTGCCACATTTCCTATGGTTGGGACAGTCACGGTCACAGGAACACATCTCAGCACAATTCCCTCCACCAGATTTCGTGCTTGGACTCGGTCCCGGCTTTGCTGTGATGAAGACACAGAACAGAAACATACAGTAACTGAGACTTTCAGCATTCAGTCTTATGAAAAAAAAGTGGTCAAAGATCAGAACAGGTTTTACTTTATAGCTTCACATTTAGTTAACATTGCCCTACAAAGCAGTCTCAATCACAAGTACATCCTCCATGGCACGACCGTCAGCTTTACCAGACACTACAGGAGTGTTGTAAAATATTCGTATATTTATCGGCTTCAAATCAAGTAGAAATACCATTTAGAACTAAATGGTCAATTAGAGTCAAGACACGGAGTGCCGTTACAACCTGCCCTGCTACTGGTGAGGTGTTAAAAGCACAATGCAGATAGAAGATATCCAGTTAATAAGTTGTTAATATAAATACTGGTGAGGTGTGTTAAAAGCACAATGCAGATCAAGATATCCTGTTAATAAGTTGTTCATAAATTTCCTTTTACAACTAATTGAACTGTACACCATATTTTTTAAGGCACTCATTTATGCATTTCTTAAGGCTGTGTATAAAGAAGCTAAAAGATCTTCTTACCTATGACTCCAGCGTGGTTTGTGCTGAAACATGCAAACAGACACAATAAAACAACACTCAATGAGCAGTACACTCGAGCTGTCATCCTCTCGACCTGCGATCTCACAACAATCAACTCTGCTAGAAGAAGATGCACCAAATTAGTCAGCCGGGGGGACAATGAAGCTCACAAACCTACACTGAAAAGAGATGTGCTGCTGAACCCCTTAAGATAAATTGCTGTCTAAAGATTTTATAGATCCAAGGAAGTCTGGGTAACTCCAACCCTGATGAAACTCACCTGTGTGTATCTTTCTAGAAGCCTAATCTAGAACACCTTGATTAGCTTGTTCAGGTGTGTTTGATTAGGTTTGGAGGAGTGGCGCTCTGGAGTGAAAAAAGCACAGGCAAGCCGGACAGATCTCTTTTCTCGCAGTGGGTCTGACACGTGTGAGACCAAAGACTGAAATCGGGATTCAGGCTCGTGCACAGTGTTGCTAATAAACTGGATGTAATTTAAGTTCTGTTGCTTTTTATATGAAAATAAATATAATGAACAAGAAACTCAAAGTACTTGTTATTGAATTACATTCCAAATATGTGTTTATCAATCATTTTTTTTCTTTAATACAGACATGTGTTTTTATATATTGTTTTAATAAAAATGACATCACATAATAACCCATATCACACTGTCAGAGTTATTCACTCATAACATATGTATACACATAAAACATGATATCAGAGTTTTAAAATCAAACATTTTAAAAGACAACAATACATCACGGTTGTTAAACAACAAGGCCACTAGTGAGTCTCCGTGACCCGTGCCCGAAAATGTGATTTGAGATCACCCAAAATGTCCGGGATTCGGCTTTTGCGTCGGTTCTACAGTCGCCATTCATCATGTTTACTGTGGCAACTGTCCATCACCTCAAAACACGTAACATAGCCATAACATGTAATGTTTAGGCCCACCTGTTGCCGAGCCCCGCCTTGATGCAGTGATTGACAGACCAGGAGGGGGCGTGATCGGCTCGTAATGCATTTTCAGTGTGCACAGAGTTTTGCAACATTCATTGACCTTATTCAGAGCAGCGCTTGAATAATTGTCGGAATTACGCACCGTTTCAAAATATTGGTATTAAATCCATTTTCTGAGAATTTATCAGTCAACTTGTTGATTAAAACCATTGATTAAAATGAAATACAATTTATAAAAACGAAATTCTTTTAAAAAACATAATAAGTCAGAATTACTGTGGGCTATGTCTGACCCATTCCATGTTTTCCGATATGGTGACTCTACTGATGGACCGCTCCTTGATCCATCAGTGCTTGAGTCACCATATATCGGAAAATAAAACGTTTAAACATCAATAAAACATATCCTGTTAGGCAGAGCATTAGTTTAGTTATTAATTTAGATCTAGCGCTAAAATGTTTTGTTTTTGAAATCAAGAGGAACGCTTGTTGCCGCTGCTGTCAGTTGTAGGCTATGTTCTCTGTGGCGCGCAGTCTTCACTCGGACGCGCACTTTAATCGTCTTTACGTCGGAGACTATTCATTCTGGTAAAATCTCAAAATAAACGTGTCCTATGCTTGATATTGACTGTAACCACAGATGGACATATTCTGTTTTGATGAGAGAGAAAAAAAACTGTACCTAGGGCCGCCCTCCCGCCCCCCCCCCCTGTTCCAACGTCTATGATGTCTATCCCTCACAGCCTCGCTTTCATTCTCATTAAAAATCAAAGACGGCGCTGGCGTAGTGCGGGACATTTCATGAAAATGCAATCGCAAGTGTCTTGACTGTGAGAGTAAATGCATTTCTGTGTCATTAAAAAAAAAAAATCTGAAAAACCTGTTCCTTTACATGCATAAATGTATTAATTAGTGTTGATGTATTATTAATTAATAAAAACTAACGTCTAAAGCATGTTTTGTCCCTTATCTACTCAAGAATCAATGTAACACTGATAACTTCACACTCATTTGAACTGACATGTAGGAGCCATTTTCATTAAATGATATATTTGTCCATCAGGTGGCGTTCTGACATTGTAAGAAAGGAGATAAGCAAGGAGATGTGTGTATTGGTAGTTGAGAAGTAGCCTGCACACTTTTTGATTGTGTTATTGTGTGTCATTTCATCATGTTTGATTGGTAAAGAGTGGCATTCAAGAAACAATATGGACAATGTGTGTTTGTGCAAGGTATGGGCTTCATTTGCATTGCAATGAACGTGAAAGAATGAGACACTGCAGGAAGCTAATTCGAAGAAATGTTTTTATTTTATTTTTTTTGGAGCACAATAAAGAAAGACACTATTTGCATTTTACATCTGTGTTTATGGATTCAATTTGTACTTGTCAAATACTTGCTCACTCCTGCAACACCAGCGATTTAGTGGAAATCCGTAACAGACCTATGACCCTCTGTGAACATAACTTTAAATGATCTCATGGATGTGGCTTTTGTGGTTCCAGAGCTTGGGTTCATGCTCATGTCATTTTGATTTCTGCCAGGAAAAAAATAGCAGATCTGATCATAGGTACAGCTCACATTTTTTTTTTAAATAACCCTCCAGAACTAAGGTATCAATTAGCACAAACAGTGTGGGATTAGGTTTTTGTTTTTCCTCAAAAATCCCTAAATATGAGCAATAAGGGTTTTAGTAAATACCATGAGTTGTGAAGAAGTTTAATAAACAACATCAGCACAGAAAAACTTATTTGCATAAAATAAAATCTGATATTTAAATAATGGGTTTTTCAGTGAGTCAGTTATAGGGTCAATACTGACAGCAGGTTGGGTGTGAAAAAATGTAAAGGAAAACAAAGGTGTGGACACACCTCTGAGAAGAAACCTGCTACGCTTCCTTATAACCATAACATAAAACCTTAGCTTCTATTTCCTGGAATGTCAAGGGTTTTTCCTTGTGTGCACGTGCTCATCAACAGGGATTTATGAATATGTCAAATGACACAGTGATGTTGACGTATTTGATGTGGAGAAGGCCTTAAACTGTTAAATCGGCTATAAGTCAACTGTAAAAAGGGTTTTCATTAGTCTTTAGATGTCAAGCACATTTAGGGGAGAGGGGTAAGATGAGCCATTAAAAAAAAAAAAAAAAATATGGTCCTCAAGATAGAAAATTTAGGAAAAAGTACAACAATATAAAGAGTCAGTAAATTGCACCATCTGGGTGTAAATGTATCTAATTGAATCTGATTCGAACTCAATAAAACAGCGTATAGACTAGCCTCACAGAAATGAGAAATATACCTATAAGCTTGAAATGTCCACCAACGAAAAATAGAAATTTGAAACTCTCCAAAATAGAAACTCTCTAAGGTGCATCTACTTTACAGCGGAGATGTGGAGATGTATTTGCAGCCTACACTGATTCAGAAAACACTAGTTTATTAATATTAAACAATTAAAATGCTTCCTTATTTTTTTCAGACACATTTATTATCATTAGCCTAACTTTCTGGTGCTTTGTAGACAGATTGATGCATGCACGTGAGCATAATAGCCATGCACCCAATATTTAAAGCAGAAATTCATATCGATTAGTCGCTTAAATAATGACTAGTCGACTAGAAAAATCTTTAGTCTACAGCAAATCTAATCAATAGCCTACATTTATAGTTGATATTATTTGATTAGTAATTATCCAGCTCTTTACATTAAATTAGTTGAGTTAGCATAATTACTTACAAATAATAAATAAAGTTTAAATGAAGATGCTAACCTTTCTATATAGCATGCTTATTCCACCACACAAAGGACTGTTTTTCAGGTGTATAATCCATTATGTGAAGATTGTATCTACTGTTAAAGACGAAGATTGACATTTAGTTAATAAAAAAATAGAACATAAAAAGAAGAAACAACTTATGCTCTGTTAGATGTGTTTTGACTACTTTTCGTTTAATCATATCCCTAGGTAGGCTAATAAAGATGTATTAACAAAAAACTTATTGTGTGTTAATATGATTTTTTTTTTTAAAAACAACAACAACAACAACAACAACAACAACAAAACCGTAGTCTAGGCCTATATAAAATATATTTTTAAAAAGGGCTTCACTGATTAATTTTGCCTGGGGCCCCACTCAGTGTAGGTGTGCCTCTGATTGAGGTCTGTTATTTCCTTCAGCTATTTCAAAGAATGATAAGGATGTGGCACTTACATGCGATTGCAAGCTCTTTTCCCAGCCACATTGTTGATGTAATAGCGGACTCTCCGGTTTGCGAGATTGCAACGGGAGCGCGCACACGTTCCGCCTCTGAATGGAGATGTTATAAACAGAAAGAGCGCGACAGATCAGCAGTCAGTCAAACATCAGAACAACAGCTGCAGACAACCCATCTACTACAGCAACCTATTACCTGATCAATATGGAGGAGCAAAGACATCCTGTCAATATTCAGCTTGTTGGAGTGATGCAAAAAGAAGAAGCGAAGGTAAGACGTTATTTTATTTATTTATTTACATTTTGCATGCATTATTAAAAAGCTACATTACTGTTGTTTTGAATGAAATTCTCGATGATGTTCAAATTTCTACTACAATTTAACATATTAATAAAATGTTTCGGTATCTGATTTAATTGTAGGCTATATTCACTTATACGCTGGATAACATAACATAACAATAATGTGGAATTACAATCAGCTCCATGAAACATTTAAAAGTAAATCACACTGAAAACATTTTTTTATGTCAGTTAACCTAACTAAAACGCTTCATGTGTTGTTAACTTTATTCTTTAAATAATACAAATATAAGAATAACACTAAGGTTCATTAATTAATTAACATGAATTAATGTATTGACTAACGCTAACAATGAGCAACTACATTTGTTACAGTATTTCTTAATCTGTTAAAGTTAGTAAATTAAAATCTGTTCATTGTTTGTTCAAGTTAGTTCACAGTGGATTGACTAATGTCAACAAATGCAACCTTTAGTTTTAACAATGTCTTAGTAAATGCTGAAATTAATATTAACTAACATTAAGTAGCCTAATTCTGAAGAAGTATTGAGCATTGTTAGTTCATAAGGTAGATAACTAATTAACCTTATTGTAAAGCGTTACCAATGTAAGCTATGAGAACATGATTTATTAAAAATGTCATTTCTAAGGGTCACATCAGATAGAAATAGGGATATGGTTCATTCAGTTGGCCTCCTCACCTAACTAAATACACTGTAATATGCAGACTAATGTATAGTGAGA